AAAAGGCGAAAGATTTATACGATCTGAAGAGAAACCAGAGTATTCATCATGACTTTTAAAAGCACCTGTAATTCTCCAAGGAAAATGTTTGCTACGTCCAAAATGCTTTTAGAGCTCTTATCATACTAGGCTTCCATTTTCCCAATTAGAAGGGATTTTATTTCCAGAAATGATAATCATCCGAACACTTTCACTCTGTTGCATACAATGGATCAAGCCATCCCTGCTCTAAGTCCAAACTCTTGGCCTGGATCTACTGGCACTACACTGGGACCACATGATCTCTGACCACATTCTCTATCGGTCTCCTTGTTATTTACTGTGACTCCATCCTTCTGACCTTTCCAGTCCTTAAATATGCTGAGTTACCTCCCATGTCAGAGCTTTGCACATGCACTTCCCTTAGCTGCAAAGGTCCTCCTTGGCTTATCCCATGGAAATTTGGGTCATAATCCCAATTACCATAATCTTGAATATTGAAATCCCAAAAGATCAAAATCCCTAAAATCTAAAATCCTTCAATTATAAAATCCCAAAAGATCAAAATCCCTAAAATCTAAAATCCTTCAATTATAAAATCCCAAAAGATCAAAATCCTGAACATATAATTCTGGAACAAAATATTAAAATTCACTAAAAGACACTTAGTTACATTTTTTAAAAGGAGATTTATTTGAAAAATATCTAAAACCATGACACAACGCTTCATACATAGGCCCTGTTACACAATAAAATAGGTGATAATACTATACATATTTTTGGAAGCATAAACACTTAGGTATACTAATGACAGTCCCATGGGTACAACAGTTATGAGCAGATGAACCATATCCATACAGAAATGGGTCAAAAAGTAAAAGGTATAAGTGCATATCATGTTGGTAATTGTGTGCAACCAGCTTTATAATTTTGGTCATCTGAAAAACAATGAAGAACAAGGCTTTTGGTGAGATTGATCAAAAAACATTCTGGGTCACAGCATTGCCTTTGGGTATATACATTATAAGTGTATGCACAAATGTTAAAACCTTCCAGGCATGGTGGCACATGCCTATAATCGCAGCAACTGGAGGGAAGAAGGATTATAGGTTTGTGGCCAGCTAAGCAATTTAGTAAGACCCTAAGCAACTTAATGAGACCCTGTCTCAAAATAAAAATTAAAAGAAAAAAAATGAACTGGGGATATAAGTCAGTGGCAAAGCACCCTCGGGTTCAATCCCCACTACAAAAAAAGAAAAGTTTAAACTCCCTCAATAAATCAAGAGATATCTTTTTTGTACATTTACATTTGTGAAAAATCAAATTTTTACAGATCTCAACTCTTTGAGTGACTACATATGCAATCTGCATGAGTCAATTATAAGCAGAGAAACCAATCTTGAGCCCCATTTCTAAAGAGCAACCCCTACCCATATATATCACTCTATCACATCATCTTATCATATTTCCTTTACAGAATTTTCCTCTATTCAAGATTATTTTTTACTTGTTCATTGGCATTTTTTTAAGAATGTAAGCTTCATAAGAGTGATCATGTCAGCCCAGCACATAAAATAGAGCCCAACATAAAGCAGGCTTTATTATGTTTATAGAACGCAGGATTGAGGCATTTATAGTAAGAAGCACTAGGTTTGAAATCAGAAGATCCAAATTCTATATAATCTTAGCTCAGTAAACCTTAATTTCCATTTCTCCAAAATATGGCCAGAAATGTTTATCGTGAAACTTCAATTATTCATTCATTCTTTCGTTTAGTCATCAACAAATGTTTCTCACATACCTTCTGTGCTCTAGGTACTAAGTTAGCTGCTGAGGATACAGCTATAAATAAGAAGTTTAATCTAGTATCTGAGACAGTCAAGCTTAGAGGCAGTTACAAACAATACTACTTCTATCAAAAGGACTAAGCAAAACAAAAAAAAACAAAGGACAGGGCTGGGGTTGTAGCTCAGTGGTGGAGTACTTGACTAGCAAGTGCAAGACCCTGGGTTGGAATCCCAGCACTGCAAAAGAAGAAAAAAAGAGGAACAAGCATAGAGTAATTTAAAACCAGTAGGAAGGGTATCAAATCCATTCTTATAGAACCAGGAAAGGTTGAACAGCCGTAGAAATCAACATGGCAAACTAAGACTGGGCAGACCAGGGGAAAATGGTCCAGACTGAGGGAATGATATGTGCAAAAGCCCAAAGGCAAAGATGAGGTAGAATGAGGAACTCCCTATTATGACTAAGACTAGGAAGAGGGAGGGATGGCAAAATTCAAGGCTGGAGCTCCAAAGAGAATCCAGGTGATTATGGGCTTAGGCACCATTGTGGACATTTTGGAGAACTTCAGTAGGACCAAAGCAAAGAAGCCTTGGGGAAGTGGGGAGGTCTATGAGGGCATATCAGGGGTGATTCTAGAAACAGAAAGAAGCCTGGGCTTTGGACATGCTAATGGGTTATACTCCACACTCAGAGTGATGGGCGGCTACAAATGGACTTTAAGATGGACAATGACCAGTCCCACCCAGTAAAAACAATGAAGGGAGAGAAAATAAGAAAACAAAAGGGTTGTTCATTAAACCAGGAGAAAAGAAAGCTGTGGCTTGAATTAAGAGCCACAGTGGTGATGAATCAGAGAGAGAAGTTCAAGAGATACTTTGGAGAAAGATTTGTTGCAACAAGGTGACTCATAGGGAAAAGAGGAGAGGGAGGTCTGAAGGACCCAGGGTCAGACCTGACCACCTGGAATGCTGTTGGTGTCATTCAGGGACACAGGAAACCCAGGAAGGGGAGCAGATTAGAGAGAAAGATGACATGTGTGATACTGAATGTAAAAAAAAGTCTCCTAAAAATCGAAATTGCTGGCTGTCAACCCATGTTGCTGGGCGTATCTGTATGATAGGGGATTCCACTGATAAATCTTTAACAATAGCAGTCGTTTCTTAACTCAGTAGAAAGATAATAATTAATGGATAGAATTTCATTGATCTTAAACTCTTTTATAAATTTTTCTTAAATTTTGGATTCTGCTTCTGCTTTTTATAACTACCTGACTCAAGACAAAATTCCAAGCTTAGTGATTGTTTGAGATTGAGGTCTGCAGGAAGCTAAGAGTTTCAAGTGCAGGATATGTATACAGAGTATCCTGAGGATCAACACTTCTAGAAGGACATTGGAAGCTGGACCAAGTGAGGCAGACACCAAGGGTAATATGGGCACAGTGACCACCATGCACAAACCCTCAGGGATTTCTGGAACTGAAACAACTTGTCAGCATTAGCCCAGACTGGATGGAAATGACCAAGCCTTTATGCCCTTTTCAGAAAGCCACTGGCTGGCATACTTGGGCAAGGCAGTTTTCTACAGTGGGCGCAACCCTGATAACCAAAGACTGCCTGCTAACTGCATTCCCAAAGCTGAGCCAGAATAATTCCTTAGTGAAGTGAAATCTGAGCAGTGTACAAAGTGATTATAAGTCATCTGTTACTTCAATATATCAAGACCCTCAGAGGACATTCTGATGGCCAGAAGACACACAACCCTGAGCAAGTGAAAAAGTTCTTCATTTCTACAAACATTTGTCAAGCACTGGCACTGTAGCAGTGGTTAATCACACACATGGCCTTCATGGAAATTTTAATCTCACGAGGGAACCAGTTCTATCTGTCTGTCTATCTATCTATCTATCTATCTATCTATCTATCTATCTATCTATCTATCATCTATCTATCCATCCATCCATCCATCCATCCACCCTAGGAATTGAACCCAGGGATGCTCTACCACTGAGCTATATCCCCAGCCCTTTACATTTTATTTTGAAACAGGGTCTCACTAAATTGCCCAGTCTAGCCTCAAATTTAAGATCCTCTTGCCTCAGCCTCCCTAGTCACTGGGATTTATAGGCATACATCACTATACCCTGAAGGAAACAGTAGAATATAATTGTGTAATTAAACAAAGGACTTCCCCATAGAGATAAGTGCTCTAAAGAAAGTAAATAAAAGGTGTCTCATTACACAGAGTGCCCCAGGAAAGCTGCTACATTCCTTGGCTCATGGCTCCTTCATCTTCAAAGACAATGGTGGCATCTTTTCTCCTCTCTGATCTTTGCCTCCTTTGTTTTCTCCGACTCTGATCCTCCTGTCCCCTCTATATAAAGGCTGTGAAATGACATCAGACCCACCAAATCACTAGGATTACTGTGCCTGGCTGTCTTCAGTATTCACCTCTCCTACTCACATCCTAAACCCCCACACTTCCCACCCTCCATGCCACCACCAACCAGTGCAGGCCTATGATAATCACAATTAATTAGCTCATTCTAGAAGCCAAACACCTGCAATTACTATCTTCATGTCCAATTCCTATGCCAGATGGACATCCTGAGCCAGGTATGGAACCTTGTTTATCTCTGTAACCCAGTGCTTCACAGTCCCTGGACCACAGCAGGTGCTCAGTAATGCCTAATGAATGAGTTAATGAATGGAGGAGTCTAGTTATAACCTTCTATAGTTCTATGAATCTACAAGGGTAGGAGCCCTATTAAATTCTATCAAAGGAACATATTCTGATTGTTTGTAAAGCAGTTGAGGTGCTATAAAAATTTACAATGATGGCTCAGTACATCCCTGAGGAGCGTTCTGCATCCCCACAGCCTCCTTAGGCCTCCTAAGCCAGAGCCACACATAGTCATAGACATGCAGTTGCAAAGAGGGCATCTGGGTAAAGTGGCAAGGAGGCAGGTGGTATAGCACATA